ACTTACCTCTGAAACTCTGGAGCAAAACCCAGCACAGTGCGGTATCAGGCACAATGACTGGCTACATTTACTTTAAGTGGAAGATCAGGATTATTATTATTATTATTATTATTATTTTAAAAGATAAAGTTGGCCTCTAATTTGCTATGTAGTCAAGAATGACCTCAAACTTCTGATCCTCCTGTGTATGCCTTTAGAGTATTGGGAATACAGATATGTATCACCACACATGGTTTATTATGCAATGGAGATCAAACCCAGGGCTTCCTGCATGCTATACAAGTACTCTACCAATTGAACTATATCCCTAGCCCAGAGCCAGAATTAAAACATATATATATATATATATTTATGTTTTTGAGATTAAAATATATTTATATCAATTCCCACTTCCCTTTCCTCCCATCCAACATTGCCTCTCTTTCTTTAATTGTTTTCTAGCACATATATTTACATATATTTCTAAATATATAATTATAACCAGGACTAGCATTTTAATGACGTCTGTTTCATAGCTTTGCCAGGGATAGGTGTGACAACAAGCTATGCAGAAAAAACAATAGCACAGGCGTGTTCTCACTCATTTCTGTGTCTACCACAGTGTTTGGTCTCTTTTCTTGGGTCTAGGTCAAAGGAGCAAGTACTTTATGAAACATGACATTTTGGGACAAAAGATCAGAACCATATGGACTTACACTGTGGCTGCTCTCATGCACATCCTGACTGAGACTGGGGTCTTCCTCCCATGGGCAGAATGCCTGAGCATGGAGTGAACAGTGAGGGAGCTGGTATGAGGGTGAATATGTGCTTGGAGAGCAGGGGAGCAGGATATGGCTTCCCTAAGTCCGGCATGTCCTCTGTGCCCTGCAGCTTGACTCTCCCACACCTGCTATAGAGGAGTTTCACCACTTGGTCTCTTTCTCTATGGGGTATCTGCAGCCTACCATAGGAAAAGATCCTGTGGCTACATGGTGTGTGTGTGTGGGCCGACTTGGGGTTCAATCAAGTAAGCATATGGACCTTCTGCTCTGCACAACTGGCCAGTGTCACATCCTACTTTGACAATCCACGTAGTTCCCAGCACATATCTATGTCAGATTAGAAGGCTGGTTAGGGGTGAGGGACTTGGTGTGACTTCATCATAAGTGCCCAACAGTTGGATGGACCTGGAGGAACAGGATCTGGGGGGAGGGCCATTCCTGTGTCCAGAGCTCAAGTTTCACTGGAAGATGCACATTCATGGTCATTGAATGGAAGAGGCTAGGGCAGTAGAGGGGTGCTGTGCTGGATAGGGTGGGGACCGCCATAGAAGAGAAGTGGGTGGTATGCTGAAGGCAGTGGGTAAACACAGGAAGGGAGGACAAGGAAGGATTTGTGTGTGCAAAGCTTGAGGCATGGGCCCTGCGCTGGGCCAGGATGGTTAGAGCCGCATCTCAGGGGAGGGGTGCTGGGAATTAGCCAGCATGTATGTTCTCGTAAGGACTTGTGTGACTGTGTTGTGTATGGCCCCTGTGCTGTGGGTATTACATGATACCACACTGTGATGCACATGTGGACGTGTCTCTCTGTGTGTTCTGAGACAGTCTTCATGTGGTTTATGTGTGCACATGTCATATGGCTGCATATGTCACTTCCCATGCAGGCCAGTGACCCGATGCTACAATTGGTGTCATGTGACAGTTCCCAGGTTGTGGCTGAGTGCAAGTGGATCAAGTGTCAGTTTCTGTGTGGGCAGTCATGGCTACTACCTCTGTGCCTGGCTAGCACAGGTATTCTGTCTCCTCTAGGCTGTGCCTGTTAGGAGCTGTAATTGATGTCCTCTATAGAGGTTCCACAGGCATGTCATAAAAGCCATATCACAGATGTCCACCATAGACATCATGTGGGGATATCTCACACGCATACACATGTGGTTATCACAGTGTGAACATCACACATACATGTCATACCAGAGAATACACACCATGGATGTCACACCACAGAGGTCAGGGTGGGACTCAGATAGCATCAGGGACACATCCTGCTGTGGGATGTCTTTCTGTATGCTGTGAATATGTGTTGCTCTGATTGGTTGATAATAAAGCTGCATTGCCCTATGCAGGAAATCCAAGCAGATATATGGAGAGAAGAAAGGAGAATCTGGAGAGACGCAGCCTGTTGCCCAAGGAGCAACATGCCAGCCGACCAGTAAAGCCACGGAACACATGGCAATACATAGATTAATAGTTATTAATAGTTATGGGTTAAAATATAAGAGCTAGCTAGCAAGAGGCCTGCCATAGGCCATACAGTTTGTATGGGAGGGGGTGGAGGTAGGAAGTCTGCACTTCCTGAGACCATGTGGTCAGTTTGGGTTTGGGATCATCTCCCAATAAGAAGTTGAGGCAGGGCTGGAGAAATGCTCCATTTACTGGTCTTGCAGAGGATACAGATTCAATTCCCACCACCCACATGGTGGTTCACAGCCATCTCTAATTCCAGTTCCAGGGGATCTGATGCCTCTTCTCACTTCCATGTGCTCCCTCATGCACATGGCACACAGACATACACTCAGTCACGCTCACATACACATGAAATAAACAAATGGTTAAAAATTAAAAAAGAAGATAAAGCAGCTGGAGGCCAGCACTTGCTCTAGGGAAAACAACTGGAGAAGCAGGGCCAGACCTAGAAGGAAGAGTGGGCAGGATCTCACTGGTCTCACCGGCCAGTTGGCATTGGGTAGGTGATTGAGGCAAAAGAGGAATGTTGGCTGACCTCAGGATCCACTCTCTGTCTGCGTGGCTCCCACAGCAGCAATGCCACTCACGTGAGTGTGCTTCTCTACTGTCTGGGGTAAGACGTAACTCTCCAACACTGGAAGGCACAGTGGTGTCGGCCAGCCCGGCTTCTGCTTCTACGGCAGCTTTGCTTACATGATCCTTCTGTCACCCACCAGCCCAGTCTTTCTGAATTTCCTTCATTCAGCCTCCATCAGCACCTACACAGACCCAAACAGATGGTTTCTAACAGTCAAGGCCACACTCTTAAGATGCCTCAGCTACCAAATGCCACCTGGGAAATGCAGGGAGCGCTGAGTGTCTGGCCAGCACTGACTCCTGCTCTTGCGGCGTCTGCTGAAGAGGCCTTTGGTTGTGAATCATCCCCTGTTCCTTTCCCTGCGGATGTCTATATTTTCTACATGCCAGGAGCATCTGTCTGGGCCTCAACCTCCCTCCACAGTGCCACATAAAGATGTGGAGCCTGTATCCCTTGATCTACACCACAGGGTAGAATCCTGATGTACACCATGGCAGAAAACAGATGTCTCAAACACCAGGCCGCCTCTGGTAATCTCTCACTTCCCCAACTTCTTGCACCAGTGGGAGAGGACCCCCACTTGCCCTGGACTGTCTTCTGCATTGCCCATTATTACTCTGCCCTTGCACTTCAGTGTTGTCCAGTTCATCAGGGTATATACCTCTCCTCTGTGCCTCTCCTGCCCCTCCTCCTGGCAGCCATGGCCTGTGTGGATTAAATCCTACCCCAGGATGAATCCCACACAATCTGACTAGCAGATCTTTGGAGGAGACTTGGGATAGAGCTTCATACTGGTTGGGTGAGGGTTTAGCATGTTGGCATGGGGGGGAGGGGCATTGTATGTAGGAAGGATATGAACTTTTAGGGGCCATAAGGTCAGCTGTTAAAGGCTAACTTCTGTCCCCAGCAGATTTACCAGTTTGACATTTAAGCCTCCAGAACCCCAAACTGTACCTCTGTTTGCAGGTAGGATCTTAAAAGAGTAAGTTATGATGAGGGCTAGGTGTACCTCCTCCAGCCGTCTGTGCACTTAGGAGGAGAGGTCAGGACGTAGACACACAGAGGGATGGCCTGTCAGGACGCACAGAGGAGAAGGCATCTACAAGCCAAGCAGAGCCCTGCTGAGAACCCACCTTGTCAACACCTGATCTGGGACTTCTACTAGGGCTGGAGACAATAAACACCAGTTATGGAGGCAGCTGAATCCACTTCCTTTGCTGAATCCCTAGCCGCTCAAGGTCACATGCTTCTCAGCTGGTGTGGGAGGCTTTGCCTGGCCAGCCTGGTGGCCACCCTGGGTTTCGGCCTGCCTATGGCAGCAGAGTAGCCTCAGCTGGGATGAAACTGTCTGGAGGGAGGAGGCGCCCAAGCTCTTGGTGGTTCTGGATGGCAGGGCTGAAACCCGGCTGTGAGTGGCTCACTGAGGGAGGCCTGAGAGGACACAGGATCAGGAGGGAGGTAGAGGGGACTGCGTGGTTCATTGCTCTGCCTAACTGGGCCTTGTTCCTGAATGTCAGGGCTGATCCACACAAGAAGGGCACAGTGAGATACAGAATATTAGAAGAATGTTTTATTGTTGAAAATATCTAAACAACAGCAACACACACGTATACACACATGCACACACTGAGACCTTAAAGACATTTATAGTCTCGGGAGGAAGGAGCTGTTAAAAGTCTGAGTTCTCTAAGAATTTCCTACCAGTCACAGAAGGGCAGGGGCTCATTTTTTCTTCCTGTCTAGAGATTCTGACTTCCCATTGGCCCTGAGAGGTAATGGAGAAATAGACACAGGGATACCGTCTCTTGGCCAAAGTAGGCATGGTACCCCAGCTCTGTCTCCCTGGATGATGACTCCAACTGGTGTTCTCTGCTCTAAGTGGTCCAGTCTGGATACCAGGCGGGCAGGGCAGACCTGCTGTACCACGGCTTTCCTCTAATCATCCCTTTATCTCTTCCCAGTTGCTCCTTGACCTGATTTTTTTTTTTGTGGGGGTGGGGTGGGGGAGGGCCTGACAGGAATCTTCTCACCAGGGCCCTCTCCTGGAGGTTTTTCTGGCTAGTCACCCAGCCAATACTGAGTGGCCTCTGCACTTGTCCCTGCTAGGGCTTTGCGGAGTCCACACAATGCAATTCTTCTGAGTGTCTCCCCAGAGTGTGTAGCTGGGATCTCTATGGAGGTGGCGGTGGCCTTATCTTGAGGTTTTGTCGTCAACGGTGTCTGTGGGTTGGCTCCTGCGTCTGAGAATCCAGCATGTTGAGCGGGTAGCAGGAAGAGGGGTCTGCACAAGGACTCTCATCTTCAGGAGGCTCGTCCCAACAGTTTGAGAGACACAAGGCCTTTCCTTGGCCTAGGGTTCACAGAAGTGCCAGGAAGGAAGCTGCCCACGTATAGCTGGCGCAAAGGCTACCAGAATGACTTTCAGAAGTCTCTTCTGGAACTCCCTTCGGGCTGTGGTGACCCTGGTCTTCCTAGCAGATGTCTCCTTTCAAGGATTCAAAAACTTTGCCCTTTCTGGGAAAACCCCTTTCAGAGGATGGTGTAGGTAAGGACAGCTCCAAGGCTGATCCCCACACGGCTGGACCGAGGCAATGTGGGCTCCCAGGTCCTCCTGAGCAAAAGTTCTGAGGTCTCAGATCTCCTGGTGCCAGTTTGTAGGGAGATGGTCCTTTTGCCCCGACCAGTTAGTTATCTGGAAACTGTTGTGGAGGTGTTGCCCAGGTCTGGGACAGAGCCTGTTGTCCACATGATCCTCCAAAGGGTCAACAATGGAGAGTGTTGATTCAGAGAGTTGTAGAGTCAGAGGATGGCGATGTCAGAGGGCAGTGTGGCCTCCATGTTAGGCTGCACAGTAGGATGGACGGGGTTCCGCAGGGCCTAAGAGGACCCTGATCATCCCAGAGGAAGTGGCCTAGGCCCCCTGCCCAATCATGTTCCTGTAGTCAGGGGCCAGTGTCTGCTTCAGCTCCACCACGGAGGAGAAGATCCACTTCACCTGTGGGTAGGTGAGAGTAAGTCAGAGACTGCACCCAAGCTTGGGCCCTTCACTCCTGTGGGTGAGACAGAGGCCCTTCCCCGCTGTGGTTCCTTTCATACAGGTAGCAGACAGGGGATGGCAAGGGGCCAGGATGGGATAGATGAGGAGACAGTGTGGACACACTGTGGGAGGTTGAGATTAGGATGGTGTAGAGACAGCTGGAAGATTACATTGGGCCATGGTAAGGCTAATGGGGACATTGCGGGGTAGTGTGGTAGTTAGCATGGGACAGCAAGGGGCATCATAAGAGATGATGTGAAATGTAAGGAGCTCTCATCAGACAGTGTGAGGATCACATAGGATCTCAGGAGAGACAGAATGGTAGACTGTGTGGGACACTATGGGGAGTCACAGAGAACACTGTGGGACCGCACAGGGAGTGGTGGGAACGGTGTGGGGATAGAGTAGGAACAGCAAAGAAACATCATACTGCATCAGGGACGAGTGTGAGGACGTTATGAGGTAGCATAGGACATCACAGGGACAGTGGGGGAACGGTGCCGACCTTGTAGAGTGTGACAGTGGCACTGTAGCACACGCTGAGCAGGAAGAGGGTGATGAAGATGGTGATGGTCGTCCAGAGCCCGTCCAGCTCCCCGTCCTGGGCCTCAGCACAGCTGTCGTCCAGTTCTAGCTCTGGACAGAGAGGGGCAGTCAGTGTTTGTCCCAACAAGGTGGGGCTGGGAGTGATTCCCTGTGTGGCAAGTGGGTCTGCATGGAGGGGGAGGAGAAAGGACCGGCTGGACTGGGCCAGCAGATCCTCCCTGGGGCCAGCTGTCCCTTCTTTTCCCTCTGGGACATCAGTCTCAGTCCCCTCAACTGCTTGAGATTTGCCAGACACAATGGACCTGACAGTAGACCTGGATTGTGCAAGGGGCCTCTCTGTTTGCCTCACCCTTCATTCCTCAGTGTAGGAGGAAGTAGCTGGGGAGTAGAGCCTGCAACCACAGTGGGCAGTGGCTATACAGCCTGCCTAACCCTTTGCCTGTCCCCTGGTCACCGGCAGAGCCTGTGCCTGGTCATGCCTGGACTTCAGAAAATTCCACACTGTGAAGTGATCCAGACCATTATGGCTACGGGCTGTACAATTCACATAGAACTGAAACATGACCCTGAGGTACCAGAGACAGATTTAGTTTCAGAGGACTTGTGTTGAGCATAGAATGCAGGTGCTTTCAGAAGAGGAAAGCTGTGTCTGATTGTGCTGGCACAAAGGTGGGCATTAAGATGGTGGTTGGGGGTATCCTGATACATCGCTGGGTGTACGTGTTGTGCAGGGCACATAGATAAGGTCTCAATGTGCTAGGTGTGTGTATGTTGCAAATGTGTATATGCATATACACGCTATATGGGCTGGGTGATGTGCAGCAGGTTGGTTTTAATGGGTCAGGGTTCAGCACGCATGTGGGTTTCTAGTAGTCTCTCTCTCAGGGCACCAAGAGCCATCTGCCTCAGTACCCCGTGGCACAGGAGTGAGTGTGCTGTGGGTGGGCAGTGTCCCTGTGGATGTACAGACCTAGCCCATGCAAAGCTGCCTGGCTTGAGTGTAGAGATGGCAAGGCTCTCTGGCATGCCCATGGCCAGCATGCCTCTGCAGTGTACTCAGAGAAACCCCTGGATAGGGAGGGGGAGGGGGCAAGAATAGACTGAGGGAGGTGGGGTTTGTGTGTTTTCTTTCTTGGGGCTTTCCTAGATGTATTTCTCTGACTAACAGCTGCTGGTTAGTGGGAAGGCAAGAAGGATGGACTGCCTAAGGCTAAGCCTTGACACCCCAGATCAGGAAGACTCATGAGCTCTGGCAGTGCAGAGAGACCTCATTCTCTTCCTAAAGACAACTCAGGCCTCAAACCCTGGGCAGATCTCACAGCCCATGACCAGCCTCTAGATCCCAGAAAGAACCACAGTTTCACAGGGTCCCAGGGCAGTGCTGGGTGCTTTATTTATACAAGGGAAGGGTGGAGATGGGTGTCAGTGTTCCTTAGGACCTAAGAGCTTTTTGGGTGCTGAGCTCATTTACCCCGAGATCGGGAGAGGGTCTTCTGTGTGATGTGGTTGTGCAGAGACTCGTGTAACACGGAGCAGGTGAAGCTATCTCCTCGATCCCACCTGCTCTTTGGCACGTTGAGCTTGCTGTACATGAAGTAAGACCCGTCGGCGTCCGCGACAGGCAGCGTGTTCTTGTAGTTCTGCTCTTGTTTCCCGCTGCTCTCCCACTCCACATGGATGTCCTCAGGGAGGAAGCCTGTGACCAAGCAGGTCAAGCTGACCTCTGTTTTGGTCATCTGTTCCACAGGTGGAGCAAATGTGTATACCTCTGGCATTCGGACTTGCCCTGTGGGGTGAGAAGTGGGCACAGAGGTCGTTTAAGTGGAGAGCTGTCCATTTCAGGTCCCGTTCTCTGTACATACCACACACCTGCCCCATTAACTCTACATAACTCACCTTTGGGTTTTGAGATGGTTCTCTCGACGGGGCTTGGGAGGGCTTTGTTGTTGACCTTGCATTTGAACTCCTTGCCACTCATCCAGTCCTGGTGCTGGATGGGGAGGACACTGACCACACGCAAGGTACTGTTGTACTGCTCCTCGTGGGTCTGCGTCTGAGCTGTGCGCTCTTCTTTATCATTCACGAACCAGCTGAACTGGACATTTGGGTCATCCTCGCTCACGTCTATCACCACACACGTGATCTTGGGGGCCAGGGAGACCATGAGCACATCCTTGGGCTTTGGGGGGAAGATGAAGACGGATGGTCCACCCGAGAGATCAGGAGCTGATGAGAAGAGATGGAAATGGGTCAGTACCTGGGTCACCCTCCAATGTAGAGACACTCAGGACACTTGGCATCCTCCTGGGGCTGGCACACAAGGCCTACTGACTTACATGGACACTTGCACCCATCACATGGATCTGGTATTTTTCTGGGCTCTGTAGAGAGAAGGATGGATGTTACTGGGGTTTGGAGGAGAGAATATACCAAGCCAGGGAGGGGAGAGTTTATCCCCAGCACTGGGTTAGGCCAGGCTGCTCCTGGAAATGATTTTGGTGGGTTGAGATGTGAGGGACATGGATATCTATCCCAGAGGATCACTCCTTGGGTTGGACGGTCATAGGCAGAGGTCTTTGGGAGGGAGGCAGAGACAGGATGTCCTTCTGTCCCGGACTGAGGTCCCCTCCCTGGCGATGGCCGCCCTGCCTGGTTGGTCTAGGAGGCTCAAGCCGCACCTCTAGCGAACCACTCCTTCCCTGCTTGTCCTCTCACCAATTTTCCTGTCCACCTTGGTTTTGCTGGCCGGGTGGGCTACGTTGCAGACGACGGACTGGCTGGGCCAGGTGCTGGAGGACACAGTCACTGAGCTGCTGAGGGAGTAGAGACCAGAATGCAGGACGGATGGGAAGATGTGCACACCGCTGGTCAGGGATCCAGAGTTCCAGGTTACGGTTGCCGGCTCGGGGAAATAGCCCTTGACCAGGCATCCCAGGGTCACTGTGGAGCCAGATGTGCCTCCACATCCAGGAGCCAGTGGATAGACAGATGGGGCTGTTGTTGTGGCTGCAAGAAAAGGGGCATGTGTGAGCTTGTCTGGCATGGGTGGGTTCAGATACGTGGAGAGGCCCTGGCCTTAGCTTTGCAGCTTCCACCTCTAGACCCTGGCCTCCGACCTCAAAAATCTTTTTAGGTCATTTTCTTTTATGTATATGAGTATGTGCACTATGTGTATGCCCGGTGGCTGTGGAAGTTAGAAGAGGGTGTTGGATACCCCAGATGGTTGTAAGCTGCCATGTGGGTAACTGGAACTGAACCTGGGTTCCTTGGAAGAGCAGCAAGTGCTCTGAACTGCGGAGCCCTCTCGCCAGCCCCAGGAACCCTGATCTTTCCAGGAGTCCCTCTTCAATCTACTACCCTCCTGCAGGCCTCTGTGCTCTAGGTCCCTATCCATGCCTTTAGCTGTCTTTGGATCTTCCTCCCTGCTTCCTGAGGATCACTACCCACCCCCCCACCCTTCACATTCTGAGTGTGGGAAGCCTTTCTGTCTTGACCTGACTGGCCACTCTGTCCTTGTTCAATGCAGCTCAGTCCTTATGATGAGAACCTGGCGACCTCAGCTCCCTATGCCCTCTTATCTTATTCTTTACCATGTCCTGGGTCCTCCCTGATGCTGCCAGGCCCCAGAAAAGTTCCTGTCTTTTCCCAGTAGCCCTTGAAATTGGAGGGTATGCCCCATTTTTCAGGAAGGGACCTGGTCTCCCATCCTTTCTGACTCTGGTTCACTCTTCTTTTCTTTTTAATAGCGTATTTCTTCATGTATGTATCAAAAGTCATATTGAACAATGAGTTATGGATCGCAAAAGAGGAGTTAGTTTTTCATCCGTCTTCCCTGCCTATGTTTTTGATGAACAAAACCACACACAAATGCTCTCTATGATTCCTTCTTCTTGTCCCCAGGGCCCTTTTGGTCTTCTCTCCATCTCCCCTGAACCCTGCCCAAGCTCCGATAGTTACCCCCCTCTCTTCTGTGGGTCAACTCTGGGCATAACCCATGCTGCCCTAACAGGTTTGACACCCCCTGCAACCTCCACCCCCCCACTTTATGTTCCTCTAAGCTCCCAGGATCACAGCTAGGGCCTCTGATACTGACTGTAACCCACATGTTCACGAGACTCCAGCCCTCATATAGCTGCTGGGCCTGGTCCCCCCAGCCCACACCAGCCCCAGCTCCTCAGTAGCTTCTTGTGGGTCTCTCTTACTCCTGTCTTCCCCAGCTCTCCCGTAGCTGCATGGTCTTGTCTCTCACACTCCCCTAGCTCTAGTCCCCTGTAATTGCTCGGCTTGATCCCTAGAGTTACCAGGCTTTTCTGGGCTCCAGCACTCCCATCTGTCCCAGAGCCCTTGGAGGTCTGCCCTGGTCCCCTAACAAACTCCCGGGGATGCTCTGGGACCCCTAACTTTGATACCTACCACAGATCTCCGTAAACGCTCAGCCTGCCCCTCACTCCTACCTGCCCCAGGGTTATCTTGGTCCTTGAGCTCCTGGACCACCATCAACTCCACCTGCTCCAGATGCTGTGTAGCTTTTCAGCCCAATCCCCCACACCTCTATCAGCCCCAGATCTCCTGGAACTGCTTGACCTGGTCCCTCACACCCCTACTAACCAGTTATCCAATAGCTGCTTGGTTTAGCCCTCCACACGACCACTAGTACTTTCTCATTGGAAGCTGCCTGGCGTGGTACCTCTCACTGCCAGCCTAAAATGCCCATCTGCTTTCCTGGGGCTGTTTGGCCTGGCATCCCGAACTCCCATCTGCACCAGCCCCTCTGTAGCTGCTTCCTCTAGCCTCTCAAACGTCACCTGCTCTAATCCCATTCTAGATGCTGGGCTTGGTTCCTCACACCCCTACCTGCCCCAGTTCTCCCAGAACTCCTTGGTCTGGTCCCTCACACCCCTACCTGCCCCAGCTCCCCCATAGCAGCTAGTCCTGCTCACTCACACCCCTACCTGTCCTCCACTTCCCCATAGCAGCTAGACCTGCTCCCTCGCACCCCCACCTGCCCCAGCTCCCCCATAACAGCTAGACCTGCTCCCTCACACCCCCACCTGCCCCAGCTCCCCCATAGCAGCTAGTCCTGCTCACTTACACCCCTACCTGCCCTCCACTTCCCCATAGCAGCTAGACCTGGTCCCTCACACCCCCACCTGCCCCAGCTCCCCCATAGCAGCTAGACCTGCTCCCTCACACCCCCACCTGCCCCAGCTCCCCCATAGCAGCTAGACCTGCTCCCTCACACCCCCACCTGTCCCAGCTCCCCCATAGCAGCTAGGTCTGCTCCCTCACACTTCTACCTGCCCCAGCTGCCCCATAGCAGATAGACCTGCTCCCTCACACCCCCACCTGCCCCAGCTCCCCCATAGCAGCTAGACCTGCTCCCTCACACCCCCACCTGCCCCAGCTCCCCCATAGCAGCTAGACCTGCTCCCTCACACCCCCACCTGCTCCAGCTGCACCATAGCAGCTAGGTCTGGTTCCTTCCACCCCACCTGCTCCAGCTGCCCCATAGCAGCTAGACCTGGTCCCTCACACCCCCACCTGCCCCAGCTCCCCCATAGCAGCTAGGTCTGGTCCCTCACACCCCCACCTGCCCCAGCTCCCCCATAGCAGCTAGGTCTGCTCCCTCACACCCCCACCTGTCCCAGCTCCCCCATAGCAGCTAGGTCTGCTCCCTCACACCCCCACCTGTCCCAGCTCCCCCATAGCAGCTAGGTCTGCTCCCTCACACTTCTACCTGCCCCAGCTGCCCCATAGCAGCTAGACCTGCTCCCTCACACCCCCACCTGTCCCAGCTCCCCCATAGCAGCTAGACCTGCTCCCTCACACCCCCACCTGCTCCAGCTGCACCATAGCAGCTAGGTCTGGTTCCTTCCACCCCACCTGCTCCAGCTGCCCCATAGCAGCTAGACCTGGTCCCTCACACCCCCACCTGCCCCAGCTCCCCCATAGCAGCTAGACCTGCTCCCTCACACCCCCACCTGCCCCAGCTCCCCCATAGCAGCTAGGTCTGGTCCCTCACACCCCCACCTGCCCCAGCTCCCCCATAGCAGCTAGACCTGCTCCCTCACACCCCCACCTGCCCCAGCTCCCCCATAGCAGCTAGGTCTGCTCCCTCACACCCCCACCTGCCCCAGCTCCCCCATAGCAGCTAGGTCTGCTCCCTCACACCCCCACCTGTCCCAGCTCCCCCATAGCAGCTAGGTCTGCTCCCTCACACCCCCACCTGTCCCAGCTCCCCCATAGCAGCTAGGTCTGCTCCCTCACACTTCTACCTGCCCCAGCTGCCCCATAGCAGCTAGACCTGCTCCCTCACACCCCCACCTGCCCCAGCTCCCCCATAGCAGCTAGACCTGCTCCCTCACACCCCCACCTGCTCCAGCTCCCCCATAGCAGCTAGACCTGCTCCCTCACACCCCCACCTGCCCCAGCTGCCCCATAGCAGCTAGACCTGGTCCCTCACACCCCCACCTGCCCCAGCTCCCCCATAGCAGCTAGACCTGCTCACTCACACCTCCACCTGCCCCAGCTGCCCCATAGCAGCTAGACCTGCTCCCTCACACCCCCACCTGTCCCAGCTCCCCCATAGCAGCTAGGTCTGGTTCCTTCCACCCCACCTGCCCCAGCTCCTCCATAGCAGCTAGACCTGCTCACTCACACCTCCACCTGCCCCAGCTGCCCCATAGCAGCTAGACCTGGTCCCTCACACCTCCACCTGTCCCCTACTTCCCCATAGCAGCTAGACCTGGTCCCTCACACCCCCACCTGCCCCAGCTCCCCCACAGCAGCTAGACCTGCTCCCTCACACCCCCACCTGCCCCAGCTCGCCCATAGCAGCTAGGTCTGGTTCCTCACACCCCACCTGCTCCAACTGCCCCATAGCAGCTAGACCTGCTCCCTCACACCCCACCTCCTCCAGCTGCACCATAGCAGCTAGGTCTGGTCCCTCACACCCCCACCTGCTCCAGCTCCCCCATAGCAGCTAGACCTGCTCCCTCACACCCCTACCTGCCCCAGCTCGCCCACAGCAGCTAGACCTGTTCCCTCACACCCCCACCTGTCCCAGCTCCCCCATAGCAGCTAGACCTGCTCCCTCACACCTCTATCTGCTTCTGCTCTCCCATAGCTGGCAGGTCGGGTCCCTGACACTCCCATCTGCCCCAGCTCCCCCATAGCAGCTAGGTCTGGCCCCTCACATTCTCACCTTCTCCAGCTTCCCCATAGTTTCTAGGTCTGGTCCCCTATACCTGGTCCCTCACATCCCACCTGCCCCAGCTCCCCCATAGCAGCCAGACCTGCTCCCTCACACCCCTACTTGCCCCCCACTTCCCCATAGCAGCTAGACCTGGTCCTCCACACCTGGTCCCTTACACCCCCACCTGCCCCAGCTCCCCCATAGCAGCTAGATCTGGTCCCTCACACCCCCACCTGCCCCAGATTCCCCCATAGCTGCCAGGTCTGGTCCCTCACATCCTTACCTTCTCTGGCTCCCCCATAGCTGCCCAGCCTTGTCCCACAGCTCCTGGGACTACCTTGTCCAGCTTTTATCTGCCTTAGACCTCCTGTTCTCTGGGTCCCCATACTCCCACATTATTCCCTATGCTCTCCCTTTTAACTGCTTGGCTTGGTCCCAGAGCTACGGGGGCTACCCTGGACCCCAGGACTTTCATCTTTCGCATTCCCCCAGTTACTGCTCTGCCCTTGTCTCTTGAGCTACTAGGCGATCTTCAGCCCCCAGTACTGCTACTCTGTCCGTTCTGTAGCTGGATAATTTGTTCCTCAGAGCTTCTGGGGCTGCCTGCTCCCCAGTTATGGAATCTTTCCCAGCTCTCTTATAGCTGCTCAGACCGGTCCCCTAAGCTCCTCGGGCTGCTCTGGGAGCCAAACTTTGCTCAGCCTGCCCTCCCAACTCCTACCTGCTCTGGACCTCCTGCAAAGCTTTTCCTGGTTCCTGGGGTTGCCCTGATCCCCTACTAACCTCACTTGACACAGCTCCCACCCCCTCTGTAGCTCCTTAGCTCGATTCACGTACCTCCACCAGCCCCAGCTCACTTGTAGCTGCTTGGCTTGGTCCTCCTGACTCCCACCAGTCCCAGATTCCCCGTAACTGCTCTCCCAGGTCCTCGGAGCGTTTGGAGCAATCATGACTCTTCAGTCGCCTGACCCTCCCAGCGTTCACCTGAAGCTGTCCTGCCTGGTCCCCAGAGTCCCTCTGGAGGCTTCCTCCTCCCCAGCTTACCTGCTTTCCTCTTCACTCCTGGAATCTGCTTCCAATTCTGGGCTTGATCCCCGAACCCCAGGGCATCCACTCTTACTCTAGCTGTCTCCAATTAGCATATTGGCCTTCCCAGATGAGCCCTATGGACACCCCATACCTCTCCATTCCCTCTTTACCCACTCTCTCAGTTCTGCAGGCCTCTGCCCTCTCCTTGTTCCCCTGGATTCCCTTTTCTCTGCTGGTTCAGCTGCCGGGGTCCACCAGCCTCTAGGCCAGGCTGAGTCCATCCTCCAGGTTTCTGGGTCTATCCCATCAAGTCCTCGAGGCTTACTCTGGTTGTCCGTGGGTGTGCACAGCTTTAGTGGTCTGTGCTTCTGTCCATGGCGTCCCTGGAGACTGTTTGGTTGACACCAGGCTGCAGACAGACACCTTTCTTTTGCAACAGATAGGCCCCTCTGCCGGGGCTTGTCTGTCGACTCTTTCCCATCCTCCTGTGATCTGCCGTCTGTTGGTCCTGGAAAGTCGCACAGCTATCCCTAGCTGTGGCTCTCTCCAGCTGCGGCCTTCTCTGCTGACCACACTCACATGTGGGAACTTGTGAAGGTGACTGTGGCGTCTCTTGCTTTGGCACTAACAATGCAGCTCTGAGCTCTGTCTCATTCTTCTAGGATTCACAGTCCTTGCCCCGGAGGTGTGAATGCCACGCTTCTCCCAACCCAGTACAGACTAAGAACAGGATTGAAACTGGGTGACACGGGACGCTTCCTGAAGTTCCTCTTTCTTCTGGTGGTTTCAGTGTCTGGGGTAGGGGGAGACAAGGGGGAGTCCAGATATGGTCTAGGTTACCTCATGTAGGGGTGGGTGAGGTGGTACTCTTGAGACCCATAGAAGGTGTAAAGCCTAACTGTCATGACCTAGAGTCCCTGGGTTGATGGGCTGAGTGATTGTGTCCACTCTCCCCTGACCACCTCTTTGGAGAAGTCTTTCACTCAGGTCTGACCTATAGCTAGCCTAGGTGGTAACCTCTGCCTTTCCCTCTCTTTGTCTAGTGCCATCTCAGGAGAACCTAGAAGTATCTGTGGCTCTGGGAGAAAAATGAAGTCCAGAGTGGGAAGGCAGAGGGCAGAGGGCAGAGTGCAGAGTGCAGAGTGCAGATCAGATGGGGAAGGGAAAAGGCTCAGGCCTCTGGTTGTTCTTACAAGCAGTGGGTAGTGTGGCTGCAGAAGAGAGAAGCAGGGCAAGGGTCCAAGAGTGTCTCTTAGCTAAACTAAGAGAGAGTCTGGACAGGGAGGCTCTCTGGGGTTGGAACTCCATGGGTTTCATTTCTGAGGTCGTGGATTAGAATTATGATCCTGGGGTCTCATAGGGAACAGGGATCAGGAAGAGTACTCAAGGTAGTTAATGCTATACTATACGGGAAGAAGACAGTCCATTGGGATCAGAGCAGATGCTGGCAGGGTGAGGATGTGGGTTACAGCAAGGCCCTGGCTCTAAGAGTAGTGGTCAGGGTCAGAGGGAATAGAGACTGGTCAGGCTCATGAAGACAGGGTTACATCCACCCTAGAGGACCCAGGACTCCACAGAGAAAGGGCTTCTCTAGCCCAGACAGCATGCTCACACATCCCTCTTTTTTCTTTTTCTTTTTTTTTTTGCAGCCAGAACTATGGCCCCGCCCATCTACTTCCCAGTTCCTATGGCAACCCGAGTTGTTTGGTCAAGGGCTACTTCCCTGAGCCAGTAACCGTGTTCTGGAACTCTGGAGCCCTGTCTAGTGCTATGCGTAACTTTCTGTCTGTCTTGTAGTCCAAGCTATAGACTCCATCAGTATCTCAGTAATTATGCCTGCTAGCGCCTGAACCAGCCAGACTGCTACCTGCAGTGTAACCCACCTGGCCATCAAGATGAGCAAGAAAATTCCTGAGAGGATGTCCTATAGAGGGCTGGTCCATTGGAGGTCAGGCTTCTGTCATTCTTTTTCTTAGATCAACCAGGGTGAGCAGCTGTGGCCAGGGAGGGGACTTCAGCCCAAAGCACAGGAATTTCTGTCTGTCTGTCTTTCTCCATTGCTCTCCTATTTGGAGAGTAGTTTTCTAGGCACACAGATGTGGACATGGGTCTTGACCTGCCAAGATCATTCAGGAGCAGCTTGACCTGAGCGCACGTTAGAACTAAACTCCCATCCCCCATACCTTGGTGCTTTCTCTCCTCCAGACTCCACTAACATTCAGCTTTTTTTTTTTTTTCCTGTAGGACTCAGAGGCCATGGGCCCAAACCCGTGCACAAGTGTCTGGGTGAGTTGCTAGGCCTTGATCTCAGCTCCAGGAGGATAACTAGTGTCCTGAGACACCCTACATTAGAGGGTGGCCCAGGTATTGAACCATTTCCTCTCCTTATCAGCTCCTGAGGAACTTGGAGGACCATCATCTCCCCTCTAAAGCATAAGGATGCACTCATGATCTGCCTGACTCCCAGGATCACATGTGTGGTGGTGGACATTAGCCAGGATGACTCCAAGGTCCATTTCAGTTGTTAGTTCATGGATGAAGTGGAGGTGCATACAACTCAGACACAGCTCCCAAAGGAGTGGTACAGCAGCACCTTCTGTGTGGTTAGTGTCCTCCTCATTTTGCATCAGGACTGGCTGGAGGGTAAGGAGTTCAAGTACAAGACCAACAACACGGCCCTCCCAGCTCCCATTGAGAAAACCATTTCTAAATCCAAAGATGGCAACAGGTGGGATGGACTGCGTGGAGTGTGATGGACATTCAGGCAGAGCTGGAGTAGACTGCCCTCCACCTTGACAGTGACATACGTGTTGTTACCTGCCCTCACAGGGGGCTGGCCTTGTGCTTATACTATGCTTCCACCCAATAGGAACAGATAACTAAGAACAGGGTCATCTGATACACACGGGGCATGTATGACTTCCAGCTGCGGTATAGCAATGGGAAATGAGATCAGAAACTATCAGAGCACCTATCTCATCCTGGGCTCCAACGAGCCCTTACTCCTCTACAGCAAGCTCCTGTGCATAAGAACAGCAGCAGAAGGGAACTATTTACTCTGTGCCATAACAGGCTCTACACAACTACCACACAGGGAAGACCCTCTCTTATTTCCCGGATAAATGAATGCATCGCTCACCCTTGGGTCCTAGGGGACATTGACATCTGCCATTACCTAGAGCATATAGGTCTACCTGGCCATGTTGAAGTCATCTCTCACAGGGGAGGGGGATTGATCTTAACTAATTGCTTCTTCGGCCCTCTCTCCACCTGGCTGCTGCTCAGCACTGTGATGGGATCCTCTTTAGCAATCCCCCAAGAGAAGGAACACACTAACCCCGCTACTGCCAGCCTGTCCTTGTTCCTCTTCTGATCAACTTTTCTTTTTATTCTGTGATCTTGCAGAGGCATGTCTAGCCATGTATATACAGACTGACCTTTAAACTTAACATACCCAACACAGTCAGCTCTGCCTGACTGCTGGGGCTAGGCTGTCTGCCTGGTGGGACATTGCCCATCCAGGGGATACTCAGTCTTTGGCCTCTAAGGGATTGAGGTTGCCTCAAGGGAGGAACTGTCCAGATACATGGATGTGGGAGTTAGACCCATTAGAACCTGCCTGGTGACTATCACTCATCCCACATGGCACTTGCACAGATGTGTACAGTAATGTGCATGGGCACATACACAAGCCTTGCACACTCATGAACACCCTGTACAGTGTTCAGATCCATCAAGGTATCAGGCCCTCTCTCAGGCTCCTTTTCAGCATTCACATATGGGTTAGCTGAGACAGATGCAACCGCATCCTCACCAGCCCCACAACACACGGTCTCTCATGTCAATCTGTCCCTGTACCGTCAGGCCCACGCTTCCATTTCACAGAGATGACAGTCTGGTGGAAGCCATGCTGTCACCCCTGGGAATGGTGCATAAATGTTTTGCAAATGGAGCTCCTTATGTAAGGCCACTTCCACTGGTAGGGACCGGTGGAAGCCGTGTTGCAGGCCCATGCACTGATCCTAGAGCTCATGGCCTCCAGGCCTCTCTCACTTTCACTGTGCTTATTCTTACGGTAACTCTTAGTGTTGCTTTGCCAGTTGGGATTGTGGCTGAGTTTACTGGGAACAAAAGCTGATAATTTCTCTAAAAGTTTCTACAAAGAAATTAAGCCTCTCTGCAGTCTATCACAGAAACCAGTTTCTCCGGTCGCCCCTGACTGCCTGTGCGGTCATTCTGAGTAAGCACGAGGAACTCACTAAGGTTAATGATTCTTGCTTACATAACTTGCCTAAAAAGGAGATAACTATATTCCAAAGAACTTAAGAACTTGGGAGACTGTTTCTTTCTTTTTTCTTTTTTTAATAAATATTTTTATTTTATAATTAATTTAATTTTACATATCAGCCACGGATTCCCCTGTCCTCCCTCCTCCCACCCCCAGGCTTCCCCCCTCCTCAATCCACCCCCAATTCCCACCTCCTCCAAAGCAAGGTTTCCCCTGGGGATTCAGCCCGGCCTGGTAGATTCAGTTGAGGCAGGTCCAGTCCCCTCCTTTTTTAATTTTATTTATTTTTTTTGTTTTTTATTCATGTAACATACCAACCATAGATTCCCCCTTCCATTCCTCTTCTGCCCCCCCAGCCTCCTCCTACTGCCCAGCCCCACTTCCCATCCCCTCCTCCAAAGGGTAAGGGCTCCCATGGGGCATCAGCAAAGCCGGGTGCTTTCAGTTGTGACTGGACCAGGGAGACATTTTCTTAAAAGATGACATTAAAAACTTACAGGGACACATAGGAAAAGGCAAAGGATATGAAAGATCAGACATCTCTCTGGTGCCAGGACATGATGGTTAGATGTGCTTTCAGTTACAACTCCTGGTTTCCAAAAAGTACACATAGAAGCTGCCAGGAAGAAGAGAAACTTGGTCCCAACAATTAAAGAGTTAGGTAAACATTACCATTTTGTGAATTTATGAAGAATAGGATTACAACTGTTGCCCACATAAAAGTGATACAGAAATTATTTAGAAATTGACTTACAGTTGAAAATAATATCCTTGATATGGCCTCATACACTCAGCTGATCACAAAAATGTAAAAGTATCGCATTGCTAAGGGCTAATCATAGGGCTCGAATCTCTTTTTTTTTTTTTTTTTTTTTTTTGGTTTTTCGAGACAGGGTTTCTCTGTGTAGCTTTGCGCCTTTCCTGGAACTCACTCTGTAGTCCAGGCTGGCCTCAAACTCACAGAGATCCGCCTGCCTCTGCCTCCCGAGTGCTGGGATTAAAGGCGTGCGCCACCACCGCCTGGCTTCGAATCTCTTTTTTTATAACCGCATGTTTGCTGCCTGCTAGGGCACAGTATGAATAAGACATGTCTGGCTAGATAGAATCATTTGGCTTGCAATATAAAAATTAATGATAGGGGTAAAAGTCAATGATGTCAAAGGGAGCGGGAAGAAGGAAAAATAACTAAAATGGGTAAATGTTAATGATTCTGGGAAAATGATGAAAGAGAAATGTATTGAAACTGCTCATGCTTGAACGCATCAGAACTTGCATAAATAAAAATGGCTTGAGTTATTTGACGGCATCTGTTTAAAAGACACTTCACTTTTTTTGCTAACCTTACATCTCTGTCCCATGGCTCAGAACCCTGCTGGAGCTGGGCTCTGGCAATAATTCACTCTCCACATAACTGAGGGGCCTGGTTCGATCCCCAGTGCGGACCTTCTCTGAAGCCCAGGCATCATCAGGCACAGGCTCTGCCATCACTTTGGCTCTCTGGGCTTGGGAACAGGCAGAGAGGGTCAGAGGTCACAGGTCCTGACTCAGCCCAGACAGCCTCAGAACTGAGGGGTGGAGCAGATAGGAAGGGCCCCTGTGTGTCTTGCTGAGGCCAGGACTTGAGCTGGAGCAGTTGGGGGCACTTGGGCTGCTGGACTAGAGAGGACAGAAAGCTGGCCACAGGGAAGGTCGGCTGGCTCAGCCGGGCTGGCACTTTCTCCTGTGACTCCCAGCTGACCCATCTGCCACACAGGGAATTGCCCCAGCCCCACCTTGTTGGGACAAACACTAACTGTCCCTCTCTATGCAGAGCTGGGACTTAATGAGACCTGTGCTGAGGCCCAGGATGGGGAGCTGGACGGGCTCTGGGTGACCATCACCATCTTCATCACCCTCTTCCTGCTCAGCGTGTGCTACAGCGCCACTGCCACACTCTTCATGGTCAGCTACATTGTCCCTGCACGGTTTCCCTTCTGTCTCCACACTGTTCCATTCATCTCACCCAGTGTTGCGTGCTGTCCTATGCTGTTTACCCTGCCGTTCCCACCCTGTCCTCACAAGATCCCACACCATCCTCATGCCATCATAATACCGTCATCATGCTGCTTTCATAGTGTCCCCGTACTGTCCTTATTTTGTCCCCATATTGTCCTTTATAATCCCCTAGAGCAGTGGTTCTCAACCTGTGGGTCACGCCCCTCCTCCCCGTGGGGGTGGTGTCACATATCAGATATCCTGTGTATCAGATATTTACATTGTGATTCATAACAGTAGCAAAATCACAATTATGAAGCAGCAATGAAGTAGTTTTTTTGGTTGGGAGGTCACCACAACACGAGGAACTGTATTAAAGGGTTGCAGCATTAGAAAGGTTGAGAACCACTGCCCTACAGTGTCCCGTGCTAGTTCCCTAGCATTCCTTCTGTGTCCCACAGTTCCATCCTTGCTATCCCATGCTGTCTTGGACACTCACATGTCGTCCTCATGATGTCTCCACAACGTGCTCACACCTCCCTATAGTCTCATCCTGCAGATGCTGTCCTCCAAGTGGTTCTGTCTTCATACTCTGCCCACATCCTGCCCTCACGCCCAGCCTCTGTTACACATTGATGTTCCTTTGCTGTGCCTCATTCTATCCCCATATTCCCACCTCTAACTTCTCCCTGGTCCCCATACCATCTGCCAGGCTCCTACGTAACAGGAGCTATCTCTGGTTAATTCACAGCATTAAAGGGTCCTCAGCGCGGGCTTGGTCCATCTCATATACCCACCCAACAGATGAAGTGGGTCTTTTCTATGGTGATGGAAAGGAAACAGATGATCATTTCCAATTATAGGAACATGACTGGCAGGTGGCCTAGGACTCTTTGAGGGGCTAAGGACTTGCCAAGTCATTTAAAATCTCATCTGTTCTGCTTATCTGTATGATACCTAGGCCACACTGCCTTCTGGACTCAGTGCCCTCTGATATTATAACTCTCCGGCATCTTGTTCATGCAACAATCATAGATGTCCATATTCCCATGAAACATGAGCTTTGGGAACAGGAACACCCCCAGTCCCACGTCTGTGAATCTATCCAACTCTCGGTCACTTATAAAGTCACACCAGGTCCCTGACCCCTAATGAACCTTCTGACCAGGGTCATATGTGGATTAGGGACTAGGTGGACATTCAAGATAGGGTGTGACACAGCCCAATCATGTTCCAGAAAGAATCTGTTCTTTGGACCTGAATCCCAGAGAGAACAAACACATTGCAGTAGAGAGAGAACTTAGGGGAGACAAGCCTGTGCTAGAAGGAGACTTCTCCAGGCAGCTCTTGTTATTGCACTTTTCCCTGGTGCACCTGACTCAGACAGACACCGTCCAAATGCTGCACCCACCTTGAAGCAAACTTGCAAACAAGCACAGTCCAGTCATCATGCCTGCCTGACACCACGCTGGGCTTTTTAATTTTTCAGTCTCAGAGACAAGTACCCACGGTTCTTCAGAGAAGCAGAGCAAGTGGCGGATGATGCATGGATGACAGATAGAGGACAGACATAAACAGTGGATGATAGAGACAGAGGATGATGATGATACATGGATGATAGATAGAGGACAGATATAAACAGTGGATGATAGAGACAGAGGATGATGATGATGCATGGATGATAAATAGAGGACAGACATAAACAGTGGATGATAGGGACAGAGGATGATGATGATACATGGATGATAGATTGAGGACAGACATAAACAGTGGATGATAGACACAGAGGATGATGATGATGCATGGATGATAAATAGAGGACAGATATAAACAGTGGATGATAGAGACAGAGGATGATGATGATGCATGGATGATAGATAGAGGACAGACATAAACAGTGGATGATAGAGACAGAGGATGATGATGATGCATGGATGATAGATAGAGGACAGATATAAACAGTGGATGATAGAGACAGAGGATGATGATGATGCATGGATGATAAATAGAGGACAGACATAAACAGTGGATGATAGGGACAGAGGATGATGATGATACATGGATGATAGATTGAGGACAGACATAAACAGTGGATGATAGACACAGAGGATGATGATGATGCATGGATGATAAATAGAGGACAGATATAAACAGTGGATGATAGAGACAGAGGATGATGATGATGCATGGATGATAGATAGAGGACAGACATAAACAGTGGATGATAGAGACAGAGGATGATGACGATGCATGGATGATAGAGGACAGACATAAACAGTGGGTGATAGAGACAGAGGATGATGACGATGCATGGATGATAGAGGACAGATATAAACAGTGGGTGATAGACACAGAGGATGATGACGATGCATGGATGATAGAGGACAGATATAAACAGTGGATGATAGAGACAGAGGATGATATGATACATGGATGATAGATAGAGGACAGATATAAACAGTGGATGACAGAGACAGAGGATGATGAAATGGAGATGATGTAGGTAGACAACAGAGGGAGGACAGACGATAGACATAAAGGACAGATGGATGATCCACAGAACTGTAGCTCCAGCGCCAGCTCCAGAAGGATGGCTATACAGACAGATAGAAACCCAGATACAGATAAAATGGGGGAGGGACTGAAGGCTTTTAAGAGGCTGGCCACACAGTTGGGCCTGAAGTGTGGATGGTAAGTTTGATATTCTTGGGACAAGCCAGCAGGATGGAAACTGAGGCAGGAGCTGATGTTGTGAACTTGTGGCAAGATTCTTCCTTCTCTGATGAGACGGTTCATTTGACTGTCACCTTGACTGGATTAAGTGATGGCATTTCTCTGGAGGTGTCTGTGCAGGACTTCCCAGAGATGGTTAGATCTTGAGAGCTCTGAACTAATCAGTGGGTCAAGCTGTCGTGGATGGATTCAGAACATGATGGCATTTTTGGGAGGTGGTGATGGTAGGGGGAGGGCCCCGTAGGGGGAGGGCCTCGTGGAGGAAGTAGGTTACTTAGGGCATGCAGTTG